CTTGGCAGATTTATTGTAGGTTATCAGTCATGAACAAAAGAAAGTGCTGGTCGCATTTACTACACATGACCTAGGAAGTGAGAAAACACAGCGCATCTTCAAGGCAACACAAACATTTAATTTCCTGTACGGCCATGTGACTATATACTGCACCAAAGTACACCCACCATCTAAATTATTACTAATAGCCGTAAACATTACATTTATTAAAAGTAAAAACATTGATAACAGCAGTAAATGTTGGAAATATAATGCATTCAAGAAGGAGTTTTTACAATCAAATTTGAAACAGAGATGGGAAGTCATGTGAGAGGGCTTATTAGAAGTGTGCAGGAGCAGACACTTGTGTGTATGTGTGAAAGCACTACAGATGCAGCATCTGTCCAGTGCATCTGCCACTGGTCTATAGCACAGAGCCCTGACACCAGAGCCCCAACAGAGTGGGGAACTGCATGCACCAATGAGATTGAGGAGCAGCCTGGTAACACTAAAAGAGGGGGCTAAAAGACCACTAGTGAGCCGTCGAAACTGTCAGGTATGAAAACAAACCCTTGGTCTGAAAAAAGAACCTAATAACATAGGGAGTATTTTACTTCTTTGGAGTATTAACTGCACATATAACATATTTAAATCACCATGTTACCTTTAGTTGTTTGCAAAATGCTGTAAATCGCCAAAATCTATAAATTATTAACATATTTTATATGTGTCACTTATAATATATCACATAAATCAATCCCCTTCAAAGTGCTATCACAACACAATCAGCGTGCATCCTGCTAATGAAGCGACTGCACATCGCATCAGGTTTGTCAAGTTGCTCTATACAGTTTTGTATCATGTTTTTATATATTTATGGAAAAATTGTTATGTGGGAGCATGGATGACATAGGCTTGCCAACTAACTAGCTATGGCCAAGGAGAGATTGCTAAAATACTCAAACCTGCATGGATGACATCTAAAACCTCTTTAGGTGTGCCTTTTATAGAGGGAACAATATTATGACATGGTAGAAAGCTAAAAAAAAAAAAAAAAAAAAGAAGTGATTTTGCATAATACCCCCTCTAAGTTTTTGTAGTACCAAGTTGTTAGATAATACATCCATGTCAATCACCCCACGAAGCATGGCGACTCTGGGACTATTCATAATCCTTGGGGAACTCCAGTGACCACAGTTCAGAATGGTGAAGAAGAAAACTCACTATACACAGACCTGCTGATGTCAAGACCAAGGGCCATAATAATAGAACACACTGTGTGTAACAACGATCTATTTAAACATTTTTTCAAACATATTTTTTTCTGGGGACACATGTATAATTTTCGTGATAAACTCTAAAAACAATTAGAAAATGGTCAAATCAAAATATGTACTAGAATGTAAATCGTATCAGATTACTCAAAATACCCCAAGTTAATACTGATATTTCTTTATTGTATTTGGTAAATTCCAAACAATTGGTTTGGGGTTTAAAACACAAAAATGCCAAAGTCCGGCTGCCAGCTCTACTGTTTCGGCTTTCAGAAAAGTATGAATTGTACAAACTGCAGAGTGGGAAACTTCACCATATTTGGCAAAAAGCAAATGTATGCTCAATAAAAGGGACATGAATCGTAAGATTCAGAAGGAAGTTTCAGCATCTTGCCCAAAAGTAACCTCCAACATGTGTCAGCACAGACACGCTAGATCATGGTGCCACTGCAGTTTGAGTTGAAGATTCATCATCGGTCATGCCACTGGGTACATTCGGCCTCTTAACTTAGTGTTGGCTTTGAATAAGTAAGGCCAGTGGTTAAATAGGCTTTTTTTTTTTTTTTTATAATGACTTGCTTAGAGGTGCAGTGCGCAATTTTTTTGATGGATGGTCTATCTGTCTTCACAGAGTTAGAGCTTTGCCTGAAATGTTTCATGGTATGGCATTAAACATATCCATCTAGCTAGCATTTGTTCATTATGGGTGTTTAAATTGCTCAAAAATACAATAGGTTTAATCTCTACTGTGGAACATTATTGACAAAGCAATAACATTTCCATGGAGACAAGCAAGTGGCAGACCCTCCACCAAAAATGTTATTGATAGTTTTATTTCCATCACAGGTATATTCTGGCATTATTCTACAAACAGTCATATTTAACATGTACTGACCGAAAAGGTGTAGGCTGAAGTTATGCAGTGCACCGTTAAATTAAAGATATTCTGAAAATGCAACTGGAATCTAGGATCAGAAAATTCAGACTTTTATAATACTGCTGATGTGAGTAGCCTTCCCCACTTCCACACAGGGCTTTCCAGTGCATTTGAGAGTGAGCCCAAAGGCAGAAAGCATCTTGTCCTCATGTGCACAGAATGTGTAAGAGGCGCTCTCCCTGGACCCCAGTGCGTGCTAGTGCCTGCTTCTCTCACTGCTTGTGTGTCTCTGTATTGTATTTCCAGTCGAGTAGCCTCCCTGACACGGCGCCCCTGCAGGACCCCGAGCTTTAGCTGCCCTAAAAAGCCCCAGAAGGACTGCCTGTGCTGCTGCCTGACAGAAAGTGGTGGAAGATGTTGAATGAGTAGAGACGAGGGAATGTGAGTGAACAAGAGGAGAGAAGAGGACAAAGAAGAAAAACACGATGCACTGAGATGTGTTGTGTGCCTCTTAGTCACAATGTTGGTGACTGTAGGCATGGGGATATATTGATATATATACAGTATATATATTCGTTGTCATGATTATCATGGCCTAAATAATTGCGATTAACGATAATATCACAATCATTATTAAAGTTGTTGACAGTTCAAAATTTTTGGATATGAATAATTATAATTTTAATGAGTTCCATATTTAAAAGGGCCCATGTTATTTTCTGATTTCTGTTATGTTTTTTCCTCATCACAAACATACAGTTGTGTTTTGTTTCATTCACACACGTTTAATGCAAAAACTCTGCAAATCTGGGCAGAATTCATCTCTCAAACTGAAAATACTCTGTTACACTGTTCCACCTTGTGATGTCATGTGGTAATAAAGGAAGTGCTCTAGTGTATTTTTTAAAACTCCATACAAGTGCACTAGAATCAGTTGGATCATTTGAGACTTGGAATTACCAATCTCTACAATTTTGAGTATTTTGAGTTTTGGAGATGTAGACAGACTAATAATAAAGGACTACTCAAACAAGTGTGAATGAAACAAAACACAAGTCCAGGTATATTTTTAATAAGGTAAAAGCATTATAGCATGGCTTAAAGCTTAAAAGAGTCAATATAAGCCCTTTAAACAACTGCCACAGTAATGTTCTTTGTTATAACAGAAAACATTGATCTAGCAGAAAACTTTATGGTCACGCTTTTTTCTGCACATTTTGGTGATAAAATAGCAATTGTTTTTGTTGCCGATTATCACGATTATATAAAAAGTCCCGCAAACGATTACTGTCTACCCTTTTTATCACAATATTATTGTGTGTTGTCCCATCCCTATTGGTGACTGTCATATTTCTGGCCATTGAGTTAGTCCCACTGGCAGCACATGAATGAACCAGACACATCAAAAAGACGCTCGGGGCCCCTCCATCCAGAACAGGACAATATGTAAGCATTCATTTTACCCACAGAGAGCCACGCGTAAAAAGAGGCTAGCCGCTTCCCAGAAACAATGACACAAACACCAACAAGCAAACAAGTCTGTACAGAGGCTTCCAGGAGCAAAACCACAACCATCCATCAACATTCAGGGTCCATCCAGCGCTGCTCCCACTGACTCAGAACAAGAGAAGTGTGCCTAATCAAAAACGTGCAGGAGGCTGGTCTGAGGAAAACTGAATGCTCCAACAATACAGGGCATGGGGAGTTCATGCAGCCAGGCCAGGACACAGAGCTTTGGGATTGATGCAACACTGTGTAAAATAAGCTTAAAAATAGGAAGCATTTTATGTAAGTGCAAGTAATACTCCTGTAATGGAAAATCATATTTAAACGGTCCTATTTTCTGATCTTTTCTGGTTATAATGTTGCTTCAAAGTAAGAAAATTGTGTGTAATATAGGAGCTTTACAAAATGGCAAATGATAAAAAAGTTTAAAAAAAAAAAAAAAAAAAAGTTTGAGCTCCCCACTATTCAGTATTGATTGATTGGCTAGGCAATTTTTAAACCAAATTTTAATAGCGATCAAGATCTAGACTTTATTAACTGTCAATGATTGGCCAGCTTAGGTTTAGATCTACAGCCAATGGTGTCAGTAAAAACATGTGGTTTGGAGCAGACTTTGGAAGAGGCAATCTGACTATAATTTCTTTTTTCCTTTGTTTTGCAAAAGAAAAATGAAATCCTGATTGATCAATATGAGTTAAAAACATTTGATTGGTTGATAAACTTACTGATAATAAATCATTACACTTAGGCAAGTCACAATAACAAATTTTGAAGTGAGATATATTGCTGAAGAAAATACAGACTATACACGAGAATACTGAAACAAAACCGGAAAGGAAATATCTCCACAAAAAGTATTCTAAATGTACAATAATGATAAAAAATATGAAATGCAATAAATAAACAGTTAAGATTGCATAATTTAACCTCATAATTAAACCTTCTACAACTGAAATGTTATCATATTGTAATTTGTATATTATATATATATATATATATATATATATATATATATTATTATTATATTATTTTTTTTTTTTTTTGCAATGAAAAGTACGAAGAAAAAAGTACTCAAATATATTAACCCTCAAAAATGATTGTTCCATTATTGATGTATTGAACAATAGTCAATAAAGTAATTATCGTGACAGGCCTATTTTTAACAAAAGCATGTTATTAAAATCCTATCTAGGACAGTGGTTTTGTGCTGGTCTCATTTTGCATTTTTACACTGTGACCCCATTTTCATATTCTCTTTTTTAATTTATAATAAAACAGGAAAGCCAGCATCACTTTTAACAGCTCCAAAAATAGTGGTATAGAGTGTGTGTATATTGGGTTGTGCTTTGTGCGTGTAGACTCACCTTGTTAGGCGCTGTGGCTGAGGGCGCTCCCCAAACTTCCTGCAAAAAGACACAGCAACAAGAGCAACATGAGTGGAGCTGCTTCTCAACCACAAATACACCAAGTAAACACCAGCACACAAGTCTACACACGGACTCAAACATTAATTGCCTTTGTTTTTGCCACCCACTTCAACAGCCAGCTTTTCTTAGCTTGTTTCCTGGTAGGGTTGTCAAAGGTATCAAAAATCAGATACTAATCACAAGTATTGGTACTAAAAAACACTCACAGGACAGATATGAACCTTTCCTGAATAGCTTTAGAATGATCTTGAGATGTATCAGAACAAGTACAAGAGCACAGACTAGTATACGCACATGGACCACTATGAAACCTACCTGGACGACTGAAGGAATACACAGATATAAGGCCACATGGTAATATAAAAGAAAGGTGGAGGGGCCATCACATCTTTTTGTTCATGGAGATATAAATGCTTTGTCTATGGTATTAAACCTTTCTGTCTTTAGAGACCAAACCAGACCAAGTTGCAGGTTAGATCTGTGGAGTGGCAACACTGCTCACAGTCAGAATGCCTGTGTTTCTCTGTATATTTCAGATATAAAACCACTTGTAATTTAATAAATGTAAGGAAGAGCTGTTTAATGACATACTATGAAACATTCTAGGTAGAGCAATGACATACCCATAGAAACAAGGGAGTGACTAAACCCAAACCAAAAAGGTACATAGTGCACTTTTAATGCTGAAGGAGTTTTTTTTTTTTTTTTTATAAATATTATGGTATCAGAATCAGCAATGAGTATTGAGTCTAAACTTTAGTATCGAAATAGAGTTTGAAATTTTCACAGTGATGACGGCGCTATCGCCTAGAATAGCAACGTAAAGAAAACAATAGGCCTCAGCTGATTTACAGTGAGTAAATAGAGCAATTGTCAACACCCATCCATTTTGGTTATCTAGGATTTTACAACCTGCTGTTTTAAAAGGTCAACTCAGCTCAACATGTGGCTATGATTCAGGCACTACTGTTGACTGTGGCTCTGTTACTTTTAAGTAGCGTGCTGATAAAATATGGAACAGATACAGTAAGTGTTCTGGCTTCACGAGGGCTGATCTGAATTGTAAAAAGGGGACTGTTTGACTTGATAATTTGACGGTGCTTCTGCCAGTTCAACAATGTATAATGCTGTAGCTCGAGGATAGAAATGCCTGGAAGAGGTTGAAAAGAGCTTCTGCATTTTAGCACAGAACTGTAATGAGGAAAGTGCAATAACAGAAAGAGACGGGGCTACTGGGGAGTCCGCTTTAGGTTCAAACATCCAGCAGAGACGTCAACGAAATATTAAAGGTGCACTATTTAACTTGGTTAGATTGATTAAACTACAAGTAGTTCTATAGCTCAAAAATAGCTAGAAAAACAGCCATTCTGACTGTGAGCAGAGTTGCCTCTCCACAGATTTGACCAGTAACTTGGTCTGGTTTGGTCTCCATGAAGATAGACATCTCCATGGAGACAAGCATTTGAGGGCCCCTCCACCAGAAAAATTATGCAATGCACTTTAAAAGGGCCCATATTATGCCTAATAATGGGTTTAGTTTCACTCACATGTTCGAGTAATAACACATAACACTTGTGTTGTGATTTCCAAGATACCCAAAGACATGAGTAGATAAAATGTAGCTGCAGTCTTGTGCTAATGAGCTCAAAACGCTCCGTTTCACCAGCTGATATCATCGGGTGGGACCACGCTTCCAGCCTATACACTTTCACTGAATGTTTTAATCTTTGCAGCTCCTAAATTACTAGGGCTGTTGGTTCCTTTTTGATCAGTCAGTTGTGTCCTACTCATCCATTTTTATTCACCAATATTTTTTTATTATCGATTAAATATGGACAACAAGAAATGAGAAAACTCGGGGTGAGTTAGCTGAATAATTTAAATGATGCCAAAAAGCTAAGGACTACATTCAAGATCAAGATATTTTGTATTCAGGAAATTATACATACTTTTACCCTATCATATATATGTGAAGTTATAAAACATGGAATGCCAATGTTAAGAAGTACTTAAAAAACAAAACAAAAATCATTATGTGACCATGACCTTTAATACAGGTTAAACAAGGTCTTGACTTGCCAAAAGTAAATAACAAACTGCTAAAAGTTTGAAAGGAGAAACTGAAACCACAAAGCACATGGCTTATTTGTGTAAATGCCGACCGTAGCCGCAATTAAAAAAAGTGCCTCATGTCACACCTAATTTCACACCCTAACCCAGTGGAAAAGGTTGACTTCTGAAACAGAGCATACTTAATACTTGAAATACAAAATATTAATAAAATCTAAACACAGATTTTAAAACATTAAAGGTGCACTGTGTTGATTTTCTGATGTAGAGTCTGCTGCCTGCTTGTCTCCATAAATAAAACAGTTTTGCTTTGGATGTTCCACATTATAAAGATCTAGCCAATATTTACTCAATTACAGGTGCTTTTATTGCTAAAAATACCTTGAAAAATGCATTGTGAGTTGGCCTACATTTCAACAGATCTGACCTGTAACTTGCTTGATTGTGCCACTCGTCTGTCTCCATGGAGTTAGACAGGTTTGGTGTCACACTGTAGAATATTCTAGGCAAAACAATAACATCTCCATGGAGACAAATGTGTGGCAAGCTCTCTACCAGAAAAGTTATGCAATGCACCTTTATCAAACTGAATATTTTGAATTCTTCCACATTGTAATTAGTAAACCCTACAAAAGTGCCCATTGGTATAAGATTTGCTTTCCAGACATCATTTGAACTTCCTTTAATAAAAGAGAAAACAGTTACAATTAGTGAAGTGTCAAGAGTATTTTATAGCGTGAGTCATACCTCCACATCCCTGACACGTGCACAGAGGGAAACCACAATACAAAAATAACATGCAAACTTGTGACACATCAAACACTAAAAAAATAACTTTTTTGGTTAATTTCTGCTTTTTGTTCTTCTCTGACGTCTTTGAGCTCATAATTTTTGCTGAGTGCAGTCATAATTTCCATTGTCATATCCTCAGAAGACACAGTGACTAACAAGGTTACAGCGGTTCAAAGTTAATGAGATGGAGACTTTCACAACTCACTTAAAACTTGGATTTATCTGCAGAACGCCGGTTTGAGGATTCGTTCTGTTCGCTGTGACCCAGACAAGGACAAAACAGGAAGAAATGTCATTAATGCAGGATGTGTCTGTTTTGTTGACCAAGTGCCAGTGACTGATGTAATAGCTGTGAGAGGGCCTTTGACCTTTATAACCAGAAAAGACAAAATTCTGAGTAGAGGGGAGAGAGGAGAGACGCCACGGTACTCTTGATCTACTTCAAGAACTTACCATTTTATTTTGAGACTTGTCAATTCCCACTACGAGATTTCGAGTCAGCTATTCCATTACGTAATATGTCTTACTTTGATTAAGACCTCTGCCAAGGCATCAGACTGGTCTTAATCAAAGTAGACAATAACTTTTTGACAAAAATAGACAAAAAAAAGTCCGCAATCAGACAAAAAAAAAAAAGTTGGTATGTCAAGTTCACCGCAATGTCCACGGCTATCATTGACAGTAAAAATGCGGGCTCATTTGCAACATCATATGAAGTGTGCAATCATAAAAGGTGCACTGTGTAACCTTTCTGGTAGAGGGCCCGCCAGTTACTTGTCTCCACGGAGATGTTATTGCTTTACCTCCAATATTCCAAAGTATGGCACTGCACTTTTCAATTTCTATAGAAACAAGCAGTAAAAATGCACATTTTTAAATGTATTTTTGAGCAATAAAATCACCATAATTGAATAAATGCAAGTTACACTCTACCTTGAAAAAAGAAGTTTGTGAATGACAAAATTGTTCTTGGTAAAAAATAAATAAACAAATAAATAAATAAAGGTAATCTAAGCATGTCTGACCTCAAAAAAATAAAATAAAATAAATAAATAAAATAATCACTTCATGTCAACTCCTCCACCCACTGATCACAGTATATTTTATTTGTACTTACACATTTCTCTAAGTATGCTTTATTTGACACCAGTCTCTTGGTATTTTTGCTACTTATTTTGAATGTATTACTACCATTTCTATATTTTCTCTTTGTTATTGTGATATATTGGCATATGTGAGCTACTGTGGCCAAATAATTTCCCTTATGGATCAATAAAATTTGTCTAAGTCTAAGATCAGTTTTCAGTGGGTTTTCTTGAGCTCTACTGTTGCAAACTCTTTAGTCACGTTCTTTCTTAATGGCAGCTGTGATGGACAGATTTTCCCCATGTGGAGGAAGTGGAAGCCGAGCCTGCTGCTGATAAGTGTGTCAGAACATCTTACATGCCATCAATAAACACACAGATAGCATGTCACGCCGTCGATTAAGGCGTTACCGCGACGATGTGCTGTGAAAAAGTGGGGAGAAGCATGGAAACAAATAAAAGGCATGAAAATAGCTGGGAAGACGCCGAGGGTAAAGAGAAAGTGGGAGAAAGTGGATGTGTGATTGGTGCAAGAGGCAGAAAGAGCTGGTGGAGGTGGAATAATTATAAAGCAGGGCAATCGATAAGGTTCCCACAGTGAAACAGCGCTTGCCTGGGATGGCTAATGGATTCCAGACGGCTCTCCTCTCCCCCGCCTGCTCCTTCTGTTAAACCTTAGCCCCCTCCGACGCTAACGGGCCACGCGGGGGGAAGGATACTGCAGGGAAACTGAAGTCAGACCGCTGAAGAAAGATGGAGATGATGGTGGTGGTGGTGCATAGAAGATGGACTATGCGAAGGGCTTGGTGCAGTTTTAGAGTATTATCACGATACTAAAATTTCAAAACAATTCGATTTTGATACTAAAGAACAGACATCTTGTTTTGATATTATTTTTTAGTGTGGTTTAATATTAGATTTTCAATATTTTCTACTATTAGGGTTGTAAAAAGTATTTTATTCTACAGTATGGTGCAATGAGGATGGACCATGCTAAGGGTTTGGTGCAATGACCAAGCCTTGGTACAA